AGCCATTTATGAAGTTTGGTTTTGAACAGAGGCAGTTTAATTTCAGACAGAATAATAATTTCATACAATAAACTGTTACAGATCAAAATATACACTTTATATACATTTAATGCCCTTAACAGTTGTCAATCCTCTATCATTGTTCAGAAATTTTATTCTGAACAAAAGCAGAGTAAAACCAAGTTCATCACTTTTTTCACAGGCGCCAACAAATTCTTACGTCACATAGGAAAAAACGTGAATTGTTCTCAGAAACATAATTATTAGCAGAAAATGAATATGAATAATGATTTGGAGTATATTGAAGTGCAGCACATTACAGAAAAATAAATGCAGTTTAATAAAATACTCTCATCTTTTATAAGAAACCATCTTAGACAGTGTGTACCCCCAGTTCCTTAAGGTTTACAAAATGTTAGAACATTTAGAAAGTTTTTAGAATATTTCTATTTTATTTTCAAAAACAAGAGCCTCAATACTTTAAATTTGGTTTGCTAGTCACTGTGTATTTTTATTCTTTTTGTAATTTTGTAGTGCAGGTAAGTTTAGTCAAAATTAGCAATAGAAAAATCACGAAATCTTGATTTTCGGTTATTCTCAATCTAAATAAGTTGTTTTTAGCTAGAGTATTGGGGTTTCTTAACCTTTTCTCATTTTCGAGTACTGGTTTCATACAGATGCTTTCTTATAAAAAAGAGTTCAGTGGAAAATAATGTTGCTATTAGGAAAAAATTAAATTTGTTATCATCAAAGTATCCAAATAGTTTTTGTTTATCTAAAACAGTAAAGGACTTTTTAGAGCATTTGTCCTGTTCAGATTCAAACGAAATATTTGAATGTGTTCTGGAATTTGTTCTTTGGCCAGGCGAGGAAGAAGGGCTGCCACGTGAATTGTATTCATTGCTTGATTGTTGTAGTTGAAATGGTTGCAATGGAGGATAGGCAACAGTTGGCTGTTGTATCTGTGTTTGTTGACCATGTTTCAACTGCACAAGCTGACGTTGTATAGCCATGTCTTTTGCAAAGCCTTCTAGGATTTCTGACAATAGTTTCCACACCATTTCCCCGAATATTTGATCTGCTGTTCTCTTGTGCTGTTTTACGGTTGGCCTTGGTTTTTTCAGTGCATCTATTGCTGTCTCTATTAGCACATTGGTTCACTTAGCTTCTGTCTTTTTTGAGATCTTTGACGAAGGTTTATTTTCGACTTGATATGCATATTGACTGTTTCATCCGCCAGGAAACTGAGAGACTGGAAAAATTGCCATTTGCTTCGGTACATTTCTTCTGCACCTGCACCACTGACTCTGCTCTGGTGGGTCTTGTTTTTCTCTGCCACAAAATAGCTTCTTAGAGAGTTCATCTTTTTTTCCACCTCTTCATATGTTGGCACAGGAAATTTATCTTGCTCTTGTAGGACATCAATTACTTTCTGTATGGTGTTGCATCTCCTGTCTTACAAATGGTACTGAGGATTTTAAATATCGTACAGCACGGGGTGACAGAATAGGAAATATGCAGAAGGAGAACTCTCGGTCAGGACCTTTGAAGTTTGCATGCACAAACCTCAAGTGGTAAGAGTACGTAGAAACAATAGGTTTGCACAATAAACTTGTTTTGATACAGAGCTTTGGGCGAGGGATGGCGACAGTCTTCTTTAGTTGCTGCAAGGAAAAAATTGTAGAAGCCTGGCTCCACTTTAAACATAGGCTACAATATTAAGAAAACTTGTATACTCCTGTGAGGTCAAGGTCTCAGGAAAAAAGACGCAAAAATTCTTTAACACATGAATTTGTTCATTCAATTATTCGACTTAGAATGGAAAAATAATATGGCAGCCAACTCATAGAAAGTTTAAAGGCTATAAAGCAGAAAGTAAAAATTATATACTTCGAGCACGTCAGCATGAAGCAGACAAGGCAGCCATGAAAAGGATGCAACAACAAATGGAAGTAGACAAAAGCTCATCAGAATCGGAAAATGACCTCAGATGAATGTTATTAGAGCATTACACAGTAGACCTTGATGAAGTAGAGAATTACATAAATCGTAAAGAGCACTGAGGTTTGACTGATTTTTTGAAGTTTATAAACATGTATTTGCTTCAGTGTAGTAAACTGTTTTTGAAACTTTCCTGTTTTTATAAATTTTTTTCTTATCCAAATGCTTTCAAAGTTCAAGCCTTTTTAAATTTTCAATTCAGGGATGCATCAGTCTGAATAATTGAGAAAAAGACTGCCCAAATTGGAGACAGTTTCTGTTGCAAAGCAGACTATAAAACAACACCATAACTCACTTATCAAATTTTTCCTGATCCTTTTTCAAAGAGTAGTTACATTAAGAGAACTTGTTGAAAGACAACTGGTTACATCTTACAACAAGATAGAAATAATATGGTATGAGCAATCTGGTTTCAAATGGACACAAGCACAATACTGTTAGGAACTTTATTGTCACATTTCTTTTTTGTTACATTGGCAAGATCTATTACTTAAAGCAAATCAACTTGATGACAGGCAGCTTAAAGTAGACTTTTGGCTCATTGTGAAGTGTACATGTCAATGATAGGAAAACACTTTAATCAACATTTGTGATAATTTTGTGGTGTAGATATTGGTATACTTTCTAGGAAATTAAAGAGAAGATCATTGGGCTTCTTGGCAATAAATAAAGGTATGATTCCATTGCTTTATATTATTTTACACAAATAAGAAAAAATGCTGATTTTGATAAAGCCACACATTTTAATTGTAAAAATAAAGTTATAATTTAACTTATTTCTACCTCATCTTTGAAACTTTACGATGTGGTGCAATCAATCAATAATGCATAAACAATTATTATTCTAAATTGATGATGGGTTTAAGACGGATTAGAATTATAAAATTTAATATCTTTATTGTCTGTTTTGTAGTTGCTGCCCTACGAACAAAAACTGGGGGCCCTAAAGAACAGGGTCGCCGTGCTTTTAATTTGAAAAGGAGTAAAAACTTCATTATGCTCGACGACATAAAAAAAATTATACAAAATAAGGTAATTGTTATTACATTTTCAACTTTAAGAATGTCAAATAGTGCACATGCTTTCCAAACTCCTCTAGTGGCGTTTCTTGCTTTCTCTATCTGTAGTATTGGGTTATCAATTACTAATACTAAGTCTTTAACTCAATATGTAGTTTTTTCGATGTTTATTATTTCACTTGTTAGTGTGACGAATCTCACTTATAATGACATAGCTAATCTGATGTTGAGTCTTTGATTGAACAAGAAAATCAAAAAAGCAAAGTTTTTCAGATGTGTCTCTTTCCAATATTTATTTTCAGTAATTCTGTCCTTATTTCTATTTAATTTCTTTTTCAGACCAGGGATGACGATATACGTAAAATTAATCAGAAAAGGCAAAGAAGGCAAAGAAAAGGCAAAGAAGGCAAAAAAAAGGCAAAAAAAGGCAAAAAAAGGCAAAAAAAGGCAAAGAAGGCAAAAAAAAGGCAAAGAAGGGGGAGTCCGGTAGGTACACCCACAGGTCTGGCCACTACCATAATTATAGTGGCCAGCACCAAAGTTTTAATATTTATTATAAATAGTTCTAGTTGTTGTTGTTGATATTAGAGTGTTGATATTAGAGTGTTGTTTGGTTTTAGATTGTTGTTAAATTAAAAAAAGGAAAAAATCAATCTGAATGTCTTCTCTCTCTCTGTTAATCTACGTATGCATAAAGACCTGACATGGCTGTTGATAGTTGATTAGATAATTTGTGGCTTTTTGTTAGGCTTGAAAAAAGGGAATCTAAGAGGTTATATTGTGGTTAGTTTTTAGATTAGGCGTGGCTGTGAATTCATTGTTACATGAAAGTAAAAAAAATTAGGACATTCAATAAATTTTTCATAAAGTGTAAATAGCACAACGAAACCAATTGTACCAAATCAAATATATTCCTTGTGGCTTTACTTAATGAAATTATGTTTTCAAGGTGTTTTACATTATTGTTGCCGTTGTTTTTCTAGACCCCCCCCCCCTCAATCACTTTCTGTTTTATTGTCAAAATTTTACTGCCGTAGCTCTTGAACTGTGTACAACAGGTTAAGGACCATGTTACTGCTATGTTTATGAGACCCAGCCCTCCATTAAGTATTTCTAGGCTTTATTCCTATATGAAACTGTATGAAGTATGATAGGGGCCAAAGACTCATCTTGAAGGGATCAGCAAGGGGCATATTCTTGGGTTGTAACTTTCTACATTGGGCATGGCTTTGATGTCATAGTAACGTCATATTCTTCAATTTTAAGGACTTTTGAATTAGTATTTGATTGAATACATATGGCACATCAAAATGAATTACATCAACTGAAAGATCACATAGAAGCGATTCGAATGGTAGTATTGGTTCTTCTGTAGCGCAAAGAGATTAATTGATTATGTTGAATTGATTTTCAAACCTTCATTGATTTCCTTGGTAAATGGAGAGGACATTAATTTCAATCGAACCAATTGAGGGTCTTTGCTAATCTTTATCATCAAAATCCCAAACAATGTATGATGAACTCTTCTGTTCTGATCAATTATCCCATTGATCAATTGTCTACATCAGGATCAATTATCCCATTGATCAATTGTCTACATCAGGATCAATTATCCCATTGATCAATTGTCTACATCAGGATCAATTATCCCATCATCCAGACAGCACGCAAGTACTTTTCGAATTCGAATTAGCAGGTTAAATTCGACGAGGCCGTTGATGAAGTTTGAGTTTGTCTTGCACAGGGGGTGATTCGATCGTGAGATGGATGCTTATGTGATCATTTTTGATCTAATTGTATTTGGTTTCGAACACGAATTACTACAGGATAAGTTTATCATGCTCAACAAGCATAGAAAAGCTATACAAAATATGGTATTTGTTATTATTTTTATGAGACGGGAAGGGTGCTGCTCTTATCAAATAGTGCTCATGCTTCCAAAAAAACTCTAGTGCCATATCTTGCCCTCTTCATCTGTCTTTTAGAGTTTTTGATTACTATTATGTTGTTTATTTGTGTATGTTGTTTAATATTGGAGTGTATTGCATATAGTGAAATTGAAAATTAATGAACTGAACAGGAAATGTGAGTCTTGTAATTAGAATAAGTTACTAGAGATCAATTTTTCGGATGTTTCTCTCTTCAACATTCATTTTCAGTATTTCTGTTTTCAGTTCTCTCTGATTTCTATTTCAGATTAGGATTAACTTTTTTAAAAATGTTGTAAAGAAGAAAGGCAGAAAAAGAGAACAAAATGCGTACTTTGTTTTTGCAAGAACAATACACCCTGGAAAATTGAAAGAAGCAAAAGAGACCACAACCTAAAAAATATCACTTGCTTCCTGTACTTTTCAGTGTTGACTGTGAGCATACTAAAATTTGATTGAAACTGAGGAAAGAAAGAAAAATCAAGTAGAAAAGTTTATAGTAGTTAACTTCACGAGGGATGTTCTAGAATTTGATTTCACTAGTGGGTTCTTATTTTGGCTGATTTGTAACATACTCATTTAAGTGTTGATTGTTTTGTTTCTAAGTTCTTATGAGCTGCATTGATGCTATTGGGTATAACAGGGAAGGAGTTCTGTAGTTTGAGCTTTTCTGTGAAAGTGATGGTCCGTTGGCTTAGATGAGTGTATTTAATTGCTTTGGGTTGGGCTTATCCTGCTTGTATCCTGCAACATTTAGGCCCATAACTTCTGTGATACATAAGGTACCTCGGATATTATTGCATCAAACGAAAGATCTTATCGAGACAAATCGATTGGTGGTATTGGTTTTGGGGTTACACCTAGTAATGACGTCACTATGACCGGTTGAAGTTTTGGCACATTTCTGTATTGGTGTAATTGTTCTGACTAGGCCTGATCCCTGTTTTGTGATATGACTTTTCAAGCTTTATTCCCATAACTCGGCAACTATACAGAGTAAATTAGGGGCCAAGGGCTCATTCTCAAGGATTTTACAAATGTAAACTGCTGGTATGAATATTTTCTAGATTAGGTGTGGCTGTGATGTCATTGTGACGTCATAGTTTTAATTTTATCAAATGAAATTAAAAATTAAATGTTTTACATCAAAATTTATTGAATCAAATGAAAGATCTCATGGATGCGATTCGAATGGTGGCATTGGTTCTGGTGTAGCAATAAAGGTTTAATTTTTTAACATTTTGAAATGTTCAAACCTTCACGAATTATCATGTTGCTGTCTGCCCAGTCGTCAGCCTGTCACTGTTTCTCATTTATCTTATTGGTAGAGAAAGGAACAATCAAATCGAGGCGTTATTTGTTCGTTTTTTTAAAACTTCATTTTTAAAAAAAGGAGTGGAAATTTTTTTTGTTCATATCGATTGTATGCAAATGGTCGAACGTTTATGGCAAGTCAGTTTATAGAACTAATTTGCATAACAATTTCAATGCTGTGGTTCATTGTGGTACATTTAGTTCTGAGGCATGCCGCGATCAGGAAGATGCTTGTCCGATCTTTAGAAATTTACATGAATGGGTTATCATGTAATACTGGAAATACTTAATTGAATTGTTGATCAATTGAATCTGAGCCGTTGATCTGTTTGTTGATAGGATTTTATATGATTCGCAGATGGATGGGTAGAACTATCGCAATGTATCACCGTCATCCGTCCTGAGAACATGCAGAGAGGGAATTAACGCAAAGAGTGAGGTTGAAAGCAAAGCTGGTAAAGTAAATCTTTACCAAACGAGATAGAGGGCGGTTCATAAGAACATTTTTGCGTACAAGAGAAGAAAACCGCAACGTAACAGTGCTTCAAGAGGGCAGGGAGGCCAGTATGACGCATGCCAGCTGTAGGACTTTGATACGAACATTGAATGAAGCAAAGTACTATAAATTAACTGCAACAAGAAAGGGTGTTTTATCGGCTGACGACCGATTAAAACGCATAAAATTTGTGAGAGAGGCAATAAGTAAATACAACAGTCGCTTTTGGAGTGATGATGTTTTGCTCTATTTAGATGGCGTCTCATTTATATACAAGAGCAATCCCTATAGAGAAGCAGTATCAGCGCAGGGCAAAGTGTACAGACAGAAGAACAAAGGACCAGAGATAACCAGCAGAGGATCAAAAAATTTGCCTGGCAGGAAAAGAACACATTTCCTGGTTGGCATCAGTTCTGGATTTGGTGTGTCATTAATCGAGGAATACACGAAAATGGAGGGACATTATTTTGCAAAGTTTGTGCAGAAAACTCTTCACAAAAAGCTTCTTGAAGTGGCTGGTGTGAAAGGAAGAGAGAAGTTGGTATTTGTCATGGATAATGTTCCTTCACAAACAAGCAAGGTGGCACTTGACGCTGAAGATGAGTGCGGAATACAGTTTCTGAATATACCTCTGAGATCACCAGATATAAATCCGATAGAAAATATCTTTCATAATATAAAGTTTATATTTTTGTTCCTGTTGATTATCTTCTTTATTATGCTTTGTTCCATTCAATTCTACCTAAATTCAATTGATATATTACATGTTATACACAGTTTTGGAAGGTGTGGCTTGTGTGGCAAAATCTTTAAGAAATACATTATGTTCCAAAAATGTTCCGCTTTCTTCCAGTTCACGAAATTTTTTTTACATACCACTCATGAAGAGGTTTTTTTGCAATTGTTGCTATTATCTTAATGTTCTAAGGTTTCAGATTAAAAAATACAGAAGGACAGAAGAGGACATCAAGCTTCTCAAATATTATACTATTCACATACTAAATATTTCGTTTTCCTCACATTTGTTAAGTGCTTGGGCCATATAGAGAAGAGGGTAGCTTTCTGGTTGTTTTCATAATGCTTTTGTAAAAAAATCATTATGTTAAAACATATTATGTTGAAATTATTCTAATTTATAAATTAGCTACTGTCTGTTCTGTATTCATAGAGATGCCAAAGATGCCAATTGACCAACACCCTGGAAGAGGTCCCAAAGTAATCACCATTCATGGTTAAGCGTACCATCTAACAAGTGCAGCAGAACTACCCCCTGGGGAACCACTCAATATGCCTGAAATACTGGAACTGCTGCATGGCGAACTTGTGGCTGTTAAATCTTTTGCCAGGCGTTCACAAAATATGGGAGCAATCATTGAACAAAAGCTAGCCCTTGCAGCTGCAAACAATCAGCCAGTCAGGAAGATCATAGCACATCATGGACTTCAAGATAGACACTATGATGAGTGAATGACAGCAGAAATAGCAGCTGTCTACATTGGAGGTGAAGGAGCACCTCCAAAACCATGTCGAAAGACAGCTTGAAATGTATCGAAACAACCAGCAAAACACTGTGAAAATAAGAGCAACAAACCTAACGACAGATCCAATGACCATTCATTTGCTTTTTTTCGCCATGAAACAGGTTGGCACACGGAAATTACACAGAACATTACCCAACCTGAACAGCAAGT